TGGCCCGTGCCCTGACGTCTTCTCAGGCTTCAGCTCAGCCCTTGGACTGAAGGAGAGGATCAAGGGAAGCTAATGGAGCCTCCAGGCAGCAGTGCCCACCTGAGTTCAGTGCTTATTACAGAGTCCATTCCTAAGATACTGTGAAACGTGGTTTCCAGGATTTCTCTACCACCCCTGGCCTCAAAGCTGGGCCTCCCCTAGGGTCCTTTCCCAGTTGGGACAATTCAGTCCCAGAGAGCTTTCTGTCTTCCTAAAATGCTTTAGCAGGGAGCTAGGATCTATTTGAGAAAACTCAGATGGAATCTCCCAGGACCCCAGTTTTCTCCCAGAAACCATCTTTAAATGCCAGAAAAAGAAGCCATGGACCCACCTATTCATCCAAATACCTGAGTTGGAGCAAAGGCGCATTATATACACCTCCAGGGCCAGAGGGCTGACCCCAGCAAGGGCCTCTCCCCAAGCCAAATTGTTGGCAGCCCAGGAGAAGCCATCTATAGGCTGTCACCCTCTCCGCATGCCAGCAAGGACAGTTTTGGCCTAGACTAAGCGTTGGGGCCAAAGCTGGCTTCCAAGGCCAGAATGCATCAGCAAGTCCTTTCCCCACGGGCCCCCTTGCCAGGAGATGCTGAGCTGATAGGGCAGCTCTCAGGACTGCGACGCTGCAGGAAAGCTTCAAGCTCTTGTTTCGCTTCGCTGGAAACAAGCTGTCTCAGGTTCTATGTCCTCCACCCTGCACCCCTTCCCTCTTGTGAGGATGCTGTGCCTCTTCCCCTTGAGGAAGAGGTCGAGGTCGGTCCAGAAAAGATCCAAAGATGGGCTGCTCTCTGCCTGGTGTCTGGTGGGACCACTTGCCTGCTGGCTGTCTGCTTTCCTTTCTCCCGGTGGCCCTGGCTGGAGGGAGTCCCTCTGGAGGAGTATAGATGGGCTCTGAATATGCTAAGCAAGGTGTTCTGCCCCAGGACCCTCTGAAGATTCTGCTGACCAGGCCCCTGAGTTTCCTGTTCCATCCTCGATTCGTCTCTAAGGGATCTGGGACTTAAAGAAATAAAGCAAACTTTTTCTGAAAGTCAAAGTTAGCTGGCCTCCTCTAACCCTGACTAACAGAGAGTCACCCCCTGAAAACCCTTGGGATTCCTTTCCTCATGCTCCTGATCCTTGCTACCATATCTTCTCCCCACCCAGGGAGAGAGGCACAGCCTGTGACCTCTGCTACCTCAGGCCTGAGAACCCATGGTGGGCCTGACTGATGGCTGTGGAAGGTGATGAAGGACTGCCTTTCTTGGACCCCTGCTCTGCTGAGTTCTCTGCAACTACCTTTGTCTTCCACCCTGCCCTGCCCCCACCACCTCCTCCATCAGCAGGGTAGGCATTTGAGCCCTTACCTCATCAATGGATATTCAGCCAATTGGGTCCTCACCTCTGCAGCCATTATAGGGTTTCTAACGGAATAAAGACCAGTGCACTTAATACTACTGTTGAAGATGGGTATCAGGACCTTTTCATAGACTGGTGGTAGGAATATAAACTGTAACAGACACTTTGGGGGCAAAATATTGGAAATATCTTGTAAAATTGAACATTTGCATGCCGTTATCACCCAGCAATTCCTCTCCCTGGTGTATACCCAAGAGCAACTCTTACAGATGTGCAACTGAGGATATTCAAATTGACATGGTTCAAATGAGCAAAAACCTGGGGACAGCCCAAATGTCCAATGGCAGAAGAATGGATAAATAAGTTTTGGTTCATTCAGACAACTGAATGTTATATTGCAATGAAAATGAATGCACCACAGCTATACTCAGCAACATACATGAATTTTACAAATGTAATGCTAAGTCAAGGAAAGCAAGTTGCAGAAGACCATATAGGCCTGAGATCCTTTTTAAAATCAAGTTCAAAAGCAAGTAAAATTATCATAAATGTGATAAAACAAGAAAACTAAAACCAAAGAAATCTAAACACAAAATTCAGCTAGTGGCTATTTCTGAGGGCAGGTGGGGTTCCCTCTGGAGGGGGTGGGATGGGGTCGGAGCACTTAAGGTGTGTTAGTGGTGATATCCTAGTTCTTGGTCTGGTGTCCATTATATTGGGTTATTGGACAAGTCATGATGTATTTTTTCTGTTTTACGTTGCAAAAATGCATCATGATTTTTCTGACAACCCAATATTATTAAATAAACTAATTAAATAACATGGATGAAAGACAATAGGTGTCAAAGCCAAAAATGGTAATTAATCTACATCTATGGACCTGAATATATACACACAGATACATATAGCCAAAATGTTGGGGGTTGCAAGAAGCAGAAATGGGGTTGGAACAGGAATCAGCGCATTCTGAGAATTAATCCTGAGAGTCACAGAATCAGCAAGAGACCCCAAGACCTCCAGGACAAGCCTTTCATCAGGTTGGGCAGGTGGGTGTAGGGCAGTATTGAGGTCAGGGAAGGGGAGAGACTTTGAGGTCACACAGCAAGGAACCAGGCAACCTGACTCAAAGACTCCTGATCTTTTCTCTAAAAAGAAAAACAGCTGGCAGAGTTTCCTTTGAAGGGAGCTTTGGACATCCTGGATGATGGGGAAATCCCCCATGATGGCAGCTGGACTCTTGAGCAGGCTTGAGAACAGGGCATTTGGAAGCCCCAAACCACCCATCTACAGGAAAAGGTACGTTTAGAACAGAGACTTTCAAATGCTTTTGACTGTGACCACAGTAAGAAACTCATCTTTACATCATGACCCAATTCACACATGCATGTGCGTGTGCTTGTGTGTATATGTGAAACTGAAGCAAGAATACCCTGAAGCAATACTTACCCTTGCTACATAGGATGCACACTGATATTTTCATTCTACTTGTTTTCTTTTTGTAAATGTTAGACGTGACCATTACATTGATTTTTATAAGCCACTAGTGGGTCACACCCCATAGCTGCTGTAGGGATGTCAGCAGAGACTCCAGTGGGCCAGGCCTGCCTTTGCCCTCACTTCCCTCTCCCCAGGGCCCCCACCCAGCCAGGCACAGAGGATCTGAACACACACCAGTCCTGAGACAGAACTTTCTTTTCCCTATCTCAGCCCCTTTGGTCTCTCCCTTGGCCTGGGTCTGGCTCTAGTGTCCATTTTCTCCCCTGGAAAGGTTCCTGGACTCACCGAGGCAAGTGTCCACTATAACATGTGGGTGAGAAACCCCTGCAGCCCAAGCAGGAAGGAGTAAGAAGACAGTCAAAGAGAAGTCTTGCGCTTCTGTGAGCAAGCCTGTCTGCTTTGTGACTGCGTAAGCCAGTGGTTGCTAGGTTGCTCTTCCCCACAGCCCAGAACCATTCCCCAAACCCCTCTCTAGCACCTCTCACCTCTCCTGGAGGGGCAGGCAGTGCTCCCTGGAGACCGACTCTCCCTCCAAGTTCCTTCCCCACCTCCCATTCAGGCCTTTTAAAGGGGAGCAAAGGGGAGAATGAGAGTCAGAGGCTGGTTTCAGCCAGCGAGCACAAGGCAAAGAGGGAGAAACTGGCAAAAAAGTTGGTTGGGCTGGGTCCCATCTATGTCGGCCCCACCGGGTAGAATGCCACTGTGGAGGGTTCTGCCTCCAAGCAACCTGTTTCAGGAGATTGATTCACAGGGAGCTGTCTCTTAGAAGGAGAGGAGGGGTCTGCCAACATGACCCAGCCCTACTCTAGGTGATCACTCGCTGGGTGGGAAGATACTGGGTTTTCACTGGGGCAGGGGTTTCAAATGAATTCTGGCATTCTCTAGATGTGTCACCTTGGTTAAGTGGCCTGTACTGCCAGAGATGTGTAATAGTGGTAAAAATGCTTAGTTCAGATCCCAGATCAGCTAGTGCCTAGCTGTGGGGCTTTAAGAGTGGAGATGATACTTGGCACTTATTCTCACAGGATTACTGGGAAGATTGAGGGACTTGATTTAGATTAAACTGTTTAGAACAGTGCCTGGCACCAAGTAGGATCTCTTAATGTCATTACCTTCCCTGAGCCTGCAAAATGAGGTACCCTCACCTACTTCTGGGGCCCTCCTGAAGGACAAATGAGCTAACGGAAGTGAAGCACCTAGTCATATACCTGGCACACAAAAGATGCTCAAAAAATGGTGATAGTAATAATTATTACTGGTATCTTGATGAAAGTAGGCTTCTCCTGGGCCTGTCTCAGCAGGAAGGAGTTGACATGACCCCTTTGAAACCATTCTGAAAGTCCCTCTTCCATTCTTCTGGGAATCCTGGTGACTATTATGATAAATAACATTATGTTTGAAAGAAGAGAGGGCTTTCTTCCTCCCCCCACCCCCACCCAGCCCCTCCTGCTACTTTGAGCTCACTTGGGGATCTCCCACTGTTCCAGCTGACACAGCTGAGAGTAAAACCCACTTTCACCTTCCCCATTGCACCTCTGAACCCTTCCACTGTATTATTTAGAACTGGATACCAGGTCTACATGTGGAAGATACCTTAGGAAATTCCCTCAACACTGGTTTGTCAGGTTTGTAAAAGAATTGCCGAAGAAACCGTTTTGAAATCTTTCTTTGTGGAGCGTCACAAACAGCAGAGAGATTCTGTCTGCCTGGAAATGATTTGAAGTAACAGTCCTCCTGCCTGGGTCCCTCAGTTATAAGAGGAGCAATATAAAAATGTATGGAACACTTCCTATGTGCCACGCACTGTGTTATATCATGTCATTTAACCCTACAGATGGGGGAACTGATGATCAGAGAAATCCTTAATTATGTGTGTTGCAAATATATTCTCCCCTTTGTAGCTTGCTCTTCTGTCTCCAAATGCAGTCTTTTGATGGAGAGAAATTCCTACTCTTAACACAGCCCAATGTATTAATCTTGTCCTTAAAGATCAGTGGTGTTTGGGGGCCAGCCAAGTGGCTCAGTTAGTTAAGAGCTCACTCAAGAGTGCGAGCTCTGAGCAACAGCGGTTCGACGCCCGAGCTGAGCTGCCAACAGGTGGTAGGATGGCTCAGCTAAAACATAAAAATAAAAAAGATTAGTGGTGTTTGTGTCTTATTTAAGAGATCTTTGCTTACCCAAGGTTATCTCTTGTATTATTTTCTAGAAGATTTACTGTTTTACTTTTCACATGTAGAAATGATCAATCTGGAA